AGACAAAGGGATGAGTGATTTGCCCAAGCAGCACAGCCTTCAAATGGCCTCCATGTTCTGGCCAGATTAAGTTTCCAAATGATCTTAATTTGGCTAGAATAATTTAGATATGACTATAATCATGATTGTCTCTTAGCATCCTCAATGCATCAGCATTACAAAAAGGGGGAAAAGAAAGATATTCCCAAACTCATGTAAGAAAATTATGGCTGCAAGACTTTTCAGTGATTTTTTTCCTTTGACTATTTGTTTGTTTGTTTTGTTTATTTTTGTTTAAAATATTACAGATGTCCCTTTTTCTCCCCATTGACCCATTCCACCCTGTCCCATCCCCCTCCCCAGTCCCTCTCCACACCATTGTCCATGTCCTTGGGTTGTGTATATATGCATATAAATTCTTTGGTTACTCTCTCCCCCTCCACCCACCCGCCCTCCTCCATCCCTCTGACATTCGTCAGTCTCATCTATGCTTCCATGTCATTGAATCTATTCTGTTCATCAGTTTATTAAGTTCTTTAGATTCCACGTATAAGCGAGATCATGTGATGTTTGTCTTTCTCTGCCTGGCTTATTTCACTTAGCATAATATTCTCCAGGTCCATCCATACTGTCCCAAAGGGTACGAGATTCTTCTTCTTTACAGCTGCGTAGTATTCCATGGTGTAAATGTCCCACAGCTTTTTTATCCACTCATCTACTGATGGGCACTTGGGCTGTTTCCAGATCTTAGCTATTGTAAACTGTGCTGCTATGAACATCGGGGTACATATATTCTTTCTGATGAATGTTTCAGGATTCTTAGGATACATTCCTAGGAGTGGAATCACTGGGTCAAACGGCAGCTCCATTTCTAATTTTTTGAGGAACCTCCATACTGTTTTCCATAGTGGCTGCACCAGTCTGCATTCCCACCAGCAGTGTACTAGGGTTCCCCTTTCTCCACACCCTCGCCAGCACATGTCGTTTGTTGATTTGTTGATGGAGCCATTCTGACAGGTATGAAGTGATACCTCATTGTGGTTTTAATTTGCGTGTCTCTGATGATTAGCGA